GATTTTGGAGAAGGTTCCATGGGGTGCTGAGTAGAAAGTATGTCCTTTGATGCTTGGGTGGAATACTTGGTAGATGTCTGGATGGTCCATTTGATATATGGTTTTGTTTAATTCAGATGTCTCTCTGTTAACTCTCTGCCCTGTTGACCTATCTAATGGAGACAATGGGGTATTGAAGTCCCCTACTATTAATGAGTTGGAATTAATCTGGGTCTTAAAGTCCTGTAGTATTGTTTTTATGAAGTTGGGTGCACCAGAGTTTGGTGAATGTATGTTCAGGACTGTAATATCTTCTTGGTTTATTGTTCCTTTGATCAGAATGAAGTGGCCCTCTTCATCTCTTTTGATTAGTTTAATTTAAAGTCTACTTTGGCAGATATTAGAATTGCAACACCTGTTTTTTTCTTAGTGCCATTCACTTGGTATATTTCCTTTCACCTTAAGATAGTGCCTATCCTTGAAAGTGAGATGAGTTTCTTGCAGACAACAAAAAGATGGGTTTTGTTTCTTGATCTGTTCATCTAGTCTGTGTCTTTTGACTGGGGTGTTCAGTCCATTAATATTTAAAGTTATTAATGAAAGATGAGTATTGAATCCTGTCATTTTTATTTCTGTTCACATTCTTGATATAGCTGTACTTTCCCACAGTTATACCTTCATTGAATTTCTTTCCACAACCCCTTGGGTATAGTCATTCCTTTCTTTAGCTCTTTGTATTGCTTCCATAACTCTCCGATGGCCTGATTTTGTGGACATGAATTCCTCCAGCCTGTTTATGTCATGGAAGATTTTTCTTTCCCCTTCAACTATAATAGACATTTTGTCTGGGTGTAGTAATCTGGGTTGGCATCTGTGGTCATTTAAAACTGGGAATACTTTGGTCCAGGCTCTTCTGGCTTTCATAGTTTGCACTGAAAAGTCAGCTGTAATCCTAATGGATTTTTCTTTATATGTGACTTGTTGTTTCTCTTTTGCAGCTTTCAGTATTGTCTCTTTGTTCTGTACATTTAGTGTTTTTACTATGATGTGCCATGCAGAGTTTCTTTTCTGGTCCTGTCTGTTTAGTGTTCTATATGCTCTTCGTATTTGTATGGGCATGTCTTTCTTTAATTTTGGGAAACTTTCCTCTATGATTCTGTTGAAGATCTGGTCCATGCCATTATCTTGGAATTATTCTCCTTCCTGTATGCCTATAATTCATAAGTTTGGTCTTTTTATAGTGCCATACAATTCCTGCATATTCTATTCTTGTGCTTCTTAAATTTTTCATAATCTTTGCTTGAGTGGTCCAGTTCGTCCACTTTATCTTAGAGTCTTGATACTCTGTTTTCCATTTTGTTCATCCTATTGGTGAGGCTTTCTCCTGTCGTTTCTAATTGGCTTATGGAGTGTTTAACTTCCTCCTTCATTTCAACCTGATAATTCTTCAATATTTCTAACTGTTTTCTGAATTCATTCAGCAGTTCGTCCCTCTCTTCTTTCAGTTCTTTGATTACCTTGTTTGTGTGTTCTTTAAATTCACTGAATTCTTTTATCATATTCATCATTGTTCTTTTGAGTTCCATGTCCT